AGTTATGCCCCTTTTATTGCCAAATAAGGGCATTGTGTATTAAATACAAGCACTTTTTTTTTAATCAATTCCTTTCAAATTTTAATGCTAGAAGCAATAATGTTCAACATATATAACAGGTTTTTCTGTCAATTTTCAACTTTCCGTATTTGGCATTACTGTTTACGCGATAACTCAAACCAAGACACTTTTCCTACTAAAAGCGCTTAGCAGGCGACACATCTACTCCTGTGGAATTCTTGTTTTTGTATAACTAGAAAAATCTTTTGCATCATAGCTTCTGAAATTTCAATACTATTGATTTGTGAAATTTTCTGAATATACACTAAAACTCTTATTTCACATAAACAAGCATCAAGATTAAAGAAAAATGAGAAAAATTCTTGTGATTTTGAATTGTATACCGTAGTTTTCTTTACTTTACTAAGTAAATGTTACACTGGATCTGAAAAAAATGAATTATGATGTTTAACTGTGTATATTACAGCTAAGGCAGTGATGACAGAGGATGCAACACCAATCCATTTCTGTATGGAAGGAATGCGAGGCATCAAGAAGAAGGGTAATTCTGTACCACACGATGTCGGAGACCCAGGTCGGTAAAACTAGAAGCTACTATTATTGTTACAAGTCTGTTTACCATAAATGTATTTGTCTGATTCTAAAACGAAATGTTAATGTTATAAGCAAAGTAAAGAGTAAATTGTCTTTTTTGTTTTTGTAAACCTTCTTTATATAATTGTTCATGCACAATTAAATTAAATAGAATCTAAACAAAACAATGCCATAAATATTTCGGTCAGTATTTAATATAGCTGTTATTTTGCTTTGGGCTCTAGAGGGTTGTCTCCCTTTGAGCTACCATAGGCAATATGACAGTACGAAATTGCTAGTAATTTTAACAAGTAGAGCTATTTTAAATGTTTATACTGAAAGTGTGTATGGCTTCAGGATCAGGATTGTAATGGAGCCTCTATTGTCTGAACAAAAGATCAGTTTACAAAACAAATTTCTGAAAATACATTTAAAAATGAACATAACACGCCTGTAGACAATAAGAAACTGTAGATATTACAGCACTTTGTATATTGAACTTTTCTTGTTCAGGATAAAGTTCTGGCGAAGTTAATATACTGTACAGTACTAGTTGACACACAGAAACACTAAAACCATTGTAAAACCATATCTACTTTAATTGATGTGTTCTGCACTTTGTAGTAGGTAATTACTCTACACTCCCTAATAAATTGGTGGATACTTTTTCAAACATTTAATCACAATTTTGTGTAAAGATTATTAAAGAACGAATAAGAATGTTATTGCCTAATATGATGAAGAAGAAAAAAACTCATTTTCGACACCAAAATTGATCATTGATTCTTGTTGTTACAGAGGATGAACCTTGGGCCAGTCTGAATGCTTACATCATCCACCCCACATGTGAATGGAAAGACCTCAACCTCAAGTTTGTCCTCCAGACTTACCGGGACTTCAGTGAGACTAAGGATAAGGATTACTTACAGAGCATGTACCCTGTGGCAAAGGTAGATTAGCATGACATTGTTGTTCTGGAGTGTTTTAGAATGAAAAAAATGAACTTTGTTTTAATCTTAGTTAATACTATGATGACCTTTTACTCTTGTTAATGTAGCAATTTTAGGGTACCTGGCACAGAAAATGATGACAAGCGTTCATTCTTTTGCATTATAAGACTTATTCTTAAGAACCATAAGTCCTAGGGTCATAATGATTTGCAGTTAGTTTGTGGGGGTGAAGGGGATTTCTTCAAAACAATTACCTTTACTTAAATGCAAGGTCAGAGGGGTCAATTGTACTAAATATCCAAATGAATCGTACATCCCATAATCATGATATTTGATCTGGAGCTTGCTGGAATGAAAGGCTATCATATATATATTAAAGTAAGTGGTCTTTATTTACATTCAAGGTCATAGCAGTAAAATGTTATAAAATTTTCATACATTTCTTATAAACCATGAAGCCTAGATAAATACTTGCTCTTTAGCCTGTTGGAGTCCAGGGCACTATGTGTTTTTAGTCACCCCTGGGGGAACCCCAGCGGGGACTATTAA